ACATGAAGTTAGGAGGTGTGTATTGACTGACTCTGCAGAAAGTTAGCAAACTCTTTGAACAAGGTGGTCCAGCATCCGCTGATCTCACTCTATCGGTTTACGTGGCTGAATTGCTGTCGTTTCCATTTTCTAACGATACAGGTGACAGTTAACTGTGGTACATTTAGGAGCGAGGACATTTCCTAACTGGATTTGTTTCACAGGTGATATCCTTTCACAGTTCCCCACTGAACTATGCTGAGCTCCTCAGAGTGAACTTTTCTTTCACAAATGTTTTTAACTCTTATGAGCTTTCATTGTGTCTGTAGTTCTCTTGCACCACAAGCACAGCTCTTTGGTCACGAGCACTGAATATTTACCCAGTAAGCTGTGAGAATACTCAGGGGAAACATTATCTGATAAGGAAATCAACATAAAACCGGAGGGGACAGTGCTGGGCCTCAGTTAAAGCTCTCTGAAACCAACCAGGCTGTCGGGGATTTTCCACTGCCGTTTGTAAAGACTGAAAATGCATTAAAAGCATTTCTTAGATTTTTGTTAAAAACTGCAACTTCCAGAATATAAAATCTAATATTTTTTGTCTAGAGGTTTTAACAGTTTTAGTTAATGTAGGTATTCGTAACATTTTCACCACAATTCACTAAGAAAATATTTTAGTCGTGTAATAATGATCAAAGCACTTTCTAGTGCACATAAAAACATTAATTGCTGCTGGCTTTTCATAAAAAGCCAGCAGAGTTTAACCCTATTATATAAAATGAAACCTAGGCAGAAATTCAGCTGAATAAACTGATTGCTTACTCTCATGCATCTATCTGTAAGGCAGCTATTTAGCATTCATCCACACCTGCTCGTACTCCAATCAACACCTGAGTGCTCTTTAAAAGACTTCAATCAGCAGCTTAACCTGCCTCCAACAAGCATAGTTTAGTTAGACTGCATGTAAGACTGATTATTATTACCCTCCTCCATCCCCTTCACCACCATCCTTACAAGCTCATCAGGCTCCTTCTCCATACCCCTGTTTACCCTCATTAAACTAATTCCCTAGACTCATGCTGCTGTCACAACGCATCCCCAGTCGGTCCAACAGAAGGCCACCTTGTTGCGCCTGTTTCTGCAAGAGATTCCTTCCAAAGGGACTTTTTTTTCTCTCTCCACTGTCGCTCTATGCTTGCTCATTAATGAGGTTCATACCAACCTGCGCCTTGTTCCAGCTGGCATTCATCTTCATTCCGTTTCTGTTCCACCACCAGCTTCAGACCTGGGGAGGCTTCATCCCTTTTCTCATTCAGCATGTAATCAAAGTAAAACTCATTGTTAATTTACCCTGCCAAGGCCTGTGCGCCAGAGTCATAAAATACTGTTTCAAAAAGACTTTTCTGATTGCCTTCCTTCTTTTTGTCTTTTTGAATTTATTTTTCATATGCTCACAGCTTGCATTAAGAGTCTGTCTCTCAGAAAACTCCTGGATCAGCGTTTTTTCATGGTGTACGCTCCACGTCAAGCTGCAAAATATCTGCAAAAGTGTTTTAGATCAGAATGCACAGTGGTGTAAATAAAGTGTGGTGCTTTATCCATATTTTGTTATCAAGAGACCTGTAACCCAATCAGTTCACTGGAACGGTATGAACCCACTGATCTCTATTTATTCACTGGACTGCTGATTGCCCGGAAAAAGTGAAGCCGCCATCCGCCATCTTGGTACTCCCCACTCCCACGCAGTAAAAATGCCTACATGTGTAGCATTTGGCTGCAAAAAAAGAGTGGTTTTCCGGCTGTGGGAAGACCTTCCACAGGTTATTTCACAGTCACTGGATGTACTAACTAAGAAAATCCATATATACACCAAAGTATCCTATAGTATAGTATGTAGCGTAACATTAGTCTGGCTATTTCGGACTGACTGGAAGTTATTAACTGAATTAGTCATCGAAAGTGTGTCTAACGTTAGAAAATAGAAAGTACTGCTCTTCACATATTGATATGTGAAGAGCAGTGAACCATAGCAGATTGTACTTTATGTGTTAGCAAATGGCCCACACAAATAAACTCATGTTAAACATTAAAGTTAATGAGGTTTTCTGAATAGATTGTCTATGACATCAGTTCAAAAGAAAGTTTTTACTCCTCAAATTGAACTCTGAGATTTTAGAAGGTTTTCTTACACGTTTAGCCTATTTCAAGTCACCACAGTGGGACACAATCAGGTCATTGAGTAGTTACTGGATTCTCCATTTCTTTATTTTAAGCAGGTCTTTCATAGTCTGTTTTATTGGAAGTGGCAGCCTAGCGGTTAGGGCATAGAGCTTGGAATCCAGAGATTAAGAGTTCAAGCCCCACTCCCACAAACTGCAACTCTGGGTCCCTGAGCAAGACCCTTAACCCCACACTGCTCCCCGGGAGCTGCACAATGGCAGCCCACTGCGTTCCAAAGGGGATGGGTTAAATGCAGAGGTAAATTTCTCCCATGTGAGATTAATAATAGTTAAATTATTGCCATGTTGTGCATATGCCTTAATATTTTATAATTATTTTTAAATATAGTTCCACATTTTCATCAAATACCCTCTAATACAGGAGTCTTCAACCTTTTTCGGGCTAAGATCTACTTCATGGTCACTGAGTCATAGGAGGAGCTACCAATATAGAGCTATCGACAGGAAGTTTCAGCGTTCACCTAAACATAATGCATAATAAATATATTTTTTATGTTTTCTTTTCATTTCTCTTTTTCGTTTAGATATTATCACTTTGAGATCTCTTTAAATGAGTGGTTAAAAAAAGAAAAGGAAAGAATAAAATAAAATTTCAAACCCAGCTCTAATAGATAGTAGAAATGATTGTGGACTTTAATGGTAAGCTGGCCTGGTCCTGCTGCAGCGAAGCATCCCCATATCATGACACTCCTACCTCCTTGCTACACAGTTGAAATGACACCTTTAGTTTTGTTTCCAGTTATTCTGATGCCTTTTAAAAACTTCTTGACTCAGACACTGTCACTATGTTCTCTATGGAGGACTCTGAGAGCTCTTTTGGGGTAAATGTTCACCTCAATGATGCTCTGTGATTCAAAGAATTGCAATGTTTTCCTCGCCAGAATCGGCTTTTTGAATTTCAATTTCAATTACCTTAAAAGGTTCTTTGTTGAGTTATTTATTCCTATATGCCATAAACACACCATTTCATAACATGGCTGTATTTGAGTTTTGATCCATGTAGATGTGACCACTACATGCATTAGGGCTTTTAAGCAACAGGTGAACATAAAACCACCAAAGCTGGGTCTATTAACTATACAGTGATGAGTGAGTTCACCTGCAGTGTGCTGTACTTATTCTACATGCCACTTATTATCACAAGGGGTGCCTATCTCCAGCTGTCTACAGGTGAGAGGCAGGCTACACCCTGGACAGGTCGAAAGTCCATCGCAGGCCAACAGAGACAAACAACCATTCACACACACCTAAGGAGAATTTAGTGAAGCCAATGAACCCAACAGTCATGTTTTTGGGCTGTGGGAGGAAGCCAGAGTACCTGGAGAGAACCCACACATGCACAGGGAGAACATGCAAACTCCATGCAGAAAGACCCTGGGCCGGGAATCAAACCCAGGACCTTCTTGCTGCAAGACAGCAGTGCTACCCACTCCACCACTGAGGTGCCTTAGAGATGCAACTAACAATTATTTTGCAAGATGATTATTTGTTTGATTAATAATCAGTTAGCCAAAGTATCCCTAAAGAAGATTTTTCTTTTTGAAATTAAACCATGTAAGCTAAAAATGTTCCACTTGAGGAGTTCTAGATAGAGCATATTGACAGATGAAAAAGTTTTTATTTTTATTTTAAATGCAAAATGTTTAGATATTTTTATAATTTTGGTATAATTGCTGCTCAACGTGGGCTGCTCTGTTGGCCAAAGATACATTCTATACTCAAGTTAACAATCAGTTAGTAAATTAGTTAATGATTATTTCAATAACCGATTAATCACCATTAGTCTGATTGTTTCAGCCCTACTGGTAACAAATTAATGCCAAACATAAGCTGCATTTTACAGCAGGAATTATCCAGCTTTCTGGAATTTAAAACATTTCATAAATCATTGTCAGTCATCGTGTAACAGTCAACTGTAAAATATGTCCTTAGTGATAACCGATTTATCATATAATAATTGTTCCAAACTGAGTCACTACATCCCTGTGGGCATCTTTTGTTATAATTAGCAAGATAAAAAAAAAAAAGGTTGTAAGCATAGTAACTGAATCTGAGGAAACTGAAACCAGCTGAAGAGTTCAGGTATGTTTATCTGTTTTGTTTTTTAAAGAGTGATGACAAGACGGGAAGGAAACTGCTGAGCAAAAATGCAAAACCCTTGATGGACCAGTCTGACTAGATTCTGACCCTCATCTGAAGTCTTGAGATATGAATCAAGACTAAGAAAAGATCAGATCCCGCATCGAAGCGGCTGAAATTAGCTTCCTCCTTATGGGTGACAGGTTTTACCTCTGTGAGAATGGGAGGAGATTAAGATTAGACCTGCATCTGAAAGGAAGCAGCTGGTTTGTGCTACTAATGAAGGCAAATAAAAAACAGAGTTGTCTTAATATTAGAATATTGTTTATAAAAACAACCTCAACTCTTTATTAAAAACACTTTATCAAACATTATGTAATATTTATGACCAGACTTTTCTTTTAAGCCAGAAGATCATTGCTAAAGAAAATGTATGTTTGAAGAATGTTGCATCAAACTGAAAGTTAGGTGGAAGGAAAAACGTCATAAAATATTATTTTTGAGACATTACATTTTCACTGTGGTAAACAATCAGATTAAATCAATGAAGTATTAGTATTTATTTCAGGCATATTTATCAAAAAAATACTATATTTCAGATTTTAATAATATGGACTTCATGGTTTAATTAATAGAATGTCTAAAGTGAATTGAATGCTGTTCATCAAAGGACGACATATGAAAAACAAAAAGTCAAAGTGATTCTGATTTTTCTGCAGCCAAACAAATTTTAATAACAGAGATTTGATGAAAAAAACAAAAACAAAAGACAGCCTGCATGTCAAATTAAAACCACAAACAATTTTGCAGTGCTTCTATGTTCACTGAGATGTGGCAGAACTGCCAACAAATATCGAGTCAGTTTGTAAGAACATAGCATTACGCACCTCCATTCAACATTGCCCTTTCTTCCAAAAAGAAAAAACGTAACAGCACAGAACATTTCTTTTTATAAACTGCAGCTGTAGAAACAAATCCTGCTCAAACTGATGGCAAAAAGCAAAGAAATCCGCGAGATAACAATGTGGTAAGACATAGGAGCCCGCGTTAGTAGAACATTCTTATAGTCAATTCAGTTCACTTAAAATGACCCTGAGCAATAATCTGTGTAAACATTTCTACATTCGCCTCACACCAACAAGATAAAATGTTCAGTGCTTCCTGTTCCACATGGCACATTCTCCAAGCTCACGAAGCATTTACACGTTTTCGGTTTATAGGCATGCTGGTGTTGATTAAATACTGAATGTAGCTGTGCATATACACTGGAAGAAACAATACACCACTCTTCTCTGAAGCATTTTTAGAACTTTATCTGTAAGGTAAATGTATTAAATATGTACTTATATGCTGTGTGCGAGGAGTGCATTGGGTTTATTCAGAAGAAGATGTGAGGAGCACAGTTTTGCATCCATAAAAAGTTCCAGTAAACGTGCTAGGGGAAAGAGCAGCAGAGGTCGTTCTGAGCCAGACTCTGGATCAGTCTGCACCATTCGGCTCGCTTCTGGGTAATGTAGGCTGGGGTGATGGCTTGCATGGTAAGTCGGGTTGAGCCCTCCAGCCTGACCTTCTCACACAAGGCCTCAGCAATGCAGATAACATACATGCCACAGTCATAGCTGTTCTGCTGCGACGGGCAGGGCTCCTCCACAAACCTTTTTCTCCCAGCACCGAGGAAGGGCTCGAGCTTGCTGGCGATGCGCCGCGCGTGCAGCGAATTGCTGCCATTCTGAGAGTCGTAGTGTGCAAAATGTTTGGTGTTATGACGGTAGAGCAGGAGGCTCCAGTGGGACCCTCCGGCTGTCTGGTTGGAGTTGTCATTAACGGCTAAGAAGACCCAGTGACGAGAAGGGAGATCCAGTGGCTCCAGGAAGAGGGCCAACTCATCAGGACAAGAGGCACACTTGATGAACTGGGTGACCTCTGGGCTAATGAAGATAACAGCATCTCCCAGGACTCTGAAGCGCTCATTAGCAAAGTATTCAAAGGCAAAACCAATGACCTGGTCGTTAAGCCAGTAAGGTCCTTCCAGTAAGGACACATCAGAGCGCCGCAGCAGACTGTCCTGGTAGCTCAGCACTACAGGATCCATCCTTGGGCAGGGTTGGTCTGAAAAACAAAAGCTCCTAGTTTAGGTTTGAGCAAAGGGAAGATGTTAATAGCTATGTTACTATCAGTGATTCTGCAGCTCCATCAGATGGGCTGTGCCATCTCCTAAAAACCAAGCAGGACCAAGCTTTTGAGAACCACATCAACAATGTCAACATACCTTTATAATTTTTTTTTTTTCTTTAGCATTAATGATATAGCTTAGCCCTGTTATTAAAGTTTTTGACATGGATAAATCCACCTGCCTTAGGTTGGGATTCCTTTGAAAAGTGAAACTATTTAATAACTAAATGTATGTTTTTTTTCTTCTAAAAATATCTTTTTAATTTTAAAAGATAAACACAATTTAATTCGTTTCAATGAAACTATCTTCCACTGCTTTTAATAGTGTGAAATACATTATTCTACAAAATCAAAACAAACATTTAAAACAAATAAGCAACAAAAAGGTTTTTTTTTTGCTTTATAAATAAATAAAAAATGTCACCTGATTTCATCTATGATTTACTAATTGCTCTGCTAGCTTTAAGCATTTATTTGGAGAAGAAAATGTGCAAGTTCCAAAATCTAACGCAATCTTTAGGAAACTTATTACCTCATACCTGCTTCTAAAATAAATGGATCAACAAAGAAAATACTGGATAGAGACACATTTGTTTAAAAAGTCATTTTACAGTCAATAATGCTCCTGGGTAAGCAGGGGTATTTATCTCTAGAGAATGGCTCTTTAAACACTAGTAATGAACATGAATCGATATGTGTTAAAGTTTCCCAAACTCTTATCATTTCAGCTGATAGACTTTACAGAAACCAAACAGCCGCAGGTCCATCTGTAGTCATTTGACTTCATTTAAAAGGGGAACTCATTTCATAATTCCGGCTTGGTGTTTATCAAAGGTGCACCGGTGTCTGCTCAAACACAACAAGTGCATTGCTGCAATGTTTAGTTTATATATTTTTCTTGGCACGCAGCTAACAGTCAACACATTCTAATGCTAGCTAGCTAGCTAGCTAGCTAACCTCACCTTCACACGAAGCTAAATAACTACTCCCAACCAACATAACATATAATAAACACATCGAAAAGAAATTAAATGCTGGGTTTGTTTAATGTCCCTACCTGTTAGAGACACAATAAACTAAGAAGCACCATAAAAATGACACTATTGCTCCCTCATTGCTTTGGCCGTTATAAGCTGCATCTGTACTGAGAAGCTCGCCACTTCTTCTTCTTCTTCTTCTTCTTCTTCTTCTCGTGTTTTATGGCGGTTGGCAACAAACTGTTAGTAGCATTACCGCCACTTACTGGTATGGAGTGTGGTTCGTGATGGTTTAAATATTTATCCTGATATATTCTACCCTAACTTCTTCTAAACATACATTCACACATTCACACTTAAAAATATAAACAAATTTGTGCACAGCTTTGTATATCATTCCTTCACTCACAAACACACTTACTATAATTAAATTCTATGGAATAATTATTCGTTTTCTTTAGAAAACGAATAATTATTTGTATGTGTTTACTCCCTAAATTTTTCCTCAGTATATCTAATAAATTAACCTTCTCCTTAATGTCTTCAAACTCTCTTCTCATATATCTTCTCTCTCTTTCATATTTATGACAGTCTAATATAACATGTTCTATGGTTTCATATTTATCACAGAAATCACATTTGCCCGTTTTATGTTTTTGTATTTTAAAAAGTGTATAATTAAGTCCTGTATGACCAAATCTTAACCTTGTTATCACTCTTTCCTCCTTTCTATTTCTTCTTCCATTTCTTCTTTCTCCTACCATCTTCTGAATTTTATAAAACCATCTTCCTGTTTTATCTTCATCCCACCTTTTTTGCCAAATTTCCATAAGTTTCTCTTTAATAATACTCTTTCCTTCTGATTTACTTATTTTAACTATAAAACTAATAGAATGTTTAATTGCCCTTTTTGCCATTTTATCTGCCCACTCGTTTCCTTCTACCCCAATATGTGCTGGAACCCACACAAATGTAACTATCAGCCCCATGTTTCGTATTCTGAACAGTGTATGATTTATTTCTAATAAAATGTCCATCCTACTATCTGTTTGGTTATTTTTTAAACTTAACAATGCGGAGCTTGAATCTGAACAAATGACTGATTTTAACGGTTTTATATCTTCTACCCATTGTAATGCTAATAATATTGCCAACATTTCTCCTGTGTATACTGATAATCCATCTGTAATCCGTTTTCCTATTTTTATATTGAATTCTGGTACTACAAATGCTATTCCTAATTTCTCAGTCATTTTTGATGCATCGGTATAAATTTGAATATATTGATAATAACTGTCTAAATATAACTGTACTAAATTGATATCTACCGTGTACGATTTATCTTGTTTCTTTTCCATTAGTGACATATCTACTGTTGCTTCTGGTAGAATCCAGGGAGGTATAATTGATATTGGTGTTGTTTGACTCATTTCTAAACTATTCAGTTAAATTTTTTTTATTTTATTTTTAATTGTCCATCCAAAACTCCTCATTTCTTTCTTTTCTTTTTCCCAGCATGGATTTAAAATGTCCAAAGTTGGGTGATCCACATTATTTCCTTGTAAATTTAACCAGTAATTAATTTCTAATTTTGTTCTTCTTAAATCTAATGGCATTTCTCCCATTTCTATTTCTAATGCTGCTGTTGGTGTGGTTTTAAATGCTCCAGTACATAATCTTAATGCTTGATGTTGGATAATGTCTAATTTGGTTAGATGTGTTTTAGCTGCTGAACCGTACACTAAACAACCAAAGTCTATGTTGGATCTTATCATACTTGTGTAAATCTGTTTTAGTGATTTCCTATCTGCTCCCCAGTCACTGCCAGCCAAACATTTCAAAATATTTAAAATTTTCTTACATTTATCAACAACTTTTTGTATATGTATATGCCATTTGAATTTTTCATCAAACCATAATCCTAAAAATTTTATACACTTTACCTGCTCTAACTCTTGTTTATATAATTTTAATTTTATTTCCTTGTTTATTTTTTTCTGAGTAAATAACATTACTTTCGTTTTATCAACTGAGAACTTAAATCCCCATTACAACGCCCATTTCTCTATTTCAATAATAACCTTTTGTAATTTTTTTAACAATAAAATCAACATTTTTCCCTCGTTTCCAAACAGCTCCATCATCTGCAAATAGTGAACACCCCATGTCTTTTTCAATATCTTTAAATACATCATTTATCATAATTGAGAACAATAGTGAACTTATGATACTCTCCTGTGGAGTTCCATTTTCTACTATATATTTTCCTGAGGTAGATTCTCCTATTCTAACTTGTATTTTCCTACCTGTTAAAAAGTCTTTAATCCATTTAAATATTCTCCCTTTAATACCAAACTTGTATAATTGAATTAATAATCCATCCACCCACATCATGTCATATGCCTTTTCTATATCAAAGAATACAGCCACACACTACACTTTCTTTATTTACTTGTGCTCTTCTAATTTCGTGCTCTAAACAGAGCGTTGGATCGTTAGTGCTCCTCCCTTTTCAAAAACCACTTTGATATTTTGATATATATCCTTTACTATTTAGATAATATACTAATCTATTATTAATCATTTTTTCCATTATTTTACATAAATTAGGTCTGTAGTTTTCTGGGTTTGAATCAAGCTCGCCACTAATTCTTCTTCTTCTCTTTCTAGAATTCTTCTTCCTCTTCTTCTTTTCTATTATGGCGGATCGCAAGCAACTTTAAGGTGTATACCGCCACCTATTGTACATGAGTGTGTAGCAACATTACTGTACTTATCATCAAATTCATTTTTGTTTTATTTTGTATTTTGTAGATAAATAATAAAAAAAAATGCTTTCCTTAATCTGTGAATATCCTTTATATTTCCTTCATTTCCCAATATTCCTTTAAGACTCCATCCTTCCAACCATCCTTCTTCCAACCTCTATTTCTCCCTTTCATGTTAATAAGTTTTACAGTTCATCAATACAATTTCTTTTTCTCCACATCCTTCACACGTACCATTATTTTCCTTCACTAAATATAAATTAAATATAAATTGCCATTTAAAAAGGTATGACCCACTCTTCCCTTCTGTTTCTCTCATTAATGATTCTATTTAATACTGATTTTTGTACCTTATTTAATCTCTTCCTTTCTTATCTTCATTTCACCTCTTTTGCAATGTTTCAATTTCTTTAATCTTAAGAAGTGATTTACCTTCTAATAAGTGATTAACCTTCCCCTTTCCTCGCCTCTAATTGATTCCTTACATCCGGGTATTTGGATGGGGGTAACTGAAGGGGGAACCCTTTTTGGACACTACACGTAGGCAGAAAAAAAACAAACAAACAAACAAACAAACAAACAAACAAACAAACAAGCAAAAAACTTTAGCGTCTCTTTTATAACTCTAAACGAGTCTTTTGTTCTGCCAAATATTTAAAACCCGTAACCATTGGTCTTTATTTAATGCTGCCGTGTTATTTTGGATCTTGCTGCCATGGTGTGTTTAATTACCTCCCGAATAGTCGGAATTTCTAAGTTTCTATTCGAGAGTGTAGTGTCGAAATGTCCAAAAGTATATTTATTTATTGAAAAAATCCTGAATTTTTTTAATAGAGGAAAGTAGCCTAATATTCTTTTGGAAAACAAATACTTTTTCATTAATTCTATTTTTGTTTGAATTCACATATACACAGAAAAGAATGGATGTCCTGTATGCTTTCATATATTTGAAAGTTTTCCAACGATATAATATATTTGATTACATATCTTAAGATGGATACAAATGAAGAAGGTGTTTTTGGTTAATTTGAAGATCTGAAACCAAATACTGAACTTTAAAAAAATGTTTTAGGCACAGATTTTGTAACAAAGGGGTAGCACTTAAATGAAAATAGACTTTTGGTTAATCTTATAGAAGCAGCTGTTTACTTTAATGGCTGCTCTGAATCTGATTTGAGGAATTTGATGGTTATAAATGGATAAATTCAATAAATTATTTTAAAAGAAAATCCATATAATTTGTCACTTGCTGATGCTGATACTTTCCAGATTTGTTTTAACATTCTTTCAAATATTTTTTATTTGTTATCTTTTAAGTGACCAAAACATTTTTTTAGTAGGAGTGTGTAATCAAAATAAAAATGGCAAGAGAGATGGGCAAAAATTCTTGACTAATATTAAAATAAAATATAAAGAGTGTTTAAGCACTCTGACATGGGGGTCACCATTTCAGTTCCTGCAGGAATCATGTACAGTACCCCCACATGAGTATCCCATATGCCTGTTCTAAGAAATAGCCTAACCCTCCATTAAACAGCATTTCCATACATTTCAAAAATAATATCTAAAATAATATCATAATAAAATATGTAAGTAAAAAAAATCTTAAAATTTGATTTATGTTTATGTAGTTTAGGTGAACTCTGACACTTCTAGTTCTAAGATCAGCAACAAATTCTTAGTCACCCAGATCTTGGCAACCAGAAAATAGGCTTCAATTCCCAGGCAGCCAGACCTTTGCTCAGTTTTTTAAAATTATTTTTCTGGGGGGGTTGCATTAGAGCTGTGAGAATTGAAAAAGACGCCTCAAAAGTTGTTAAAAACATTTAACTGGGTTTTATGCTCACTTCGTATGACGAAGTATCCATAAAGTTGTTCTCAGTAGGAATATGCTGTCAATGTCGGGCTGTTTATTTACTGCTATGATGGTAAAAAATTAGGCTTACCCCTTTAGTTGGCCTAGTGGTTAGGGCATAGAGCTTTGAATCCTGAGATTGTGAGTTTGAGCCCCACTCCAACAGACTGCCACTCTGGGTCATTGAGCAAAAGACCCCTTTTTTTTTTGTTGAGTTTTCACAGCACTAGTGGCTGTGAGACAGGCGGCAAAGGACCACAAGTCGGATTCAGACCCAGGTCAACTGCTTCGAGCAATAAGGCCTCCATATATGGATCTTGTGAGCTAACCACTGCGCCACCATAATACACCCTGAGCAAAAGACCCTTAACCCCACACTGCTCCCCAGGTTCAGCACAATGGCAGCCCACTGCTCCTCAAGGGGATGGGTTAAATGCAGAGAGTTCATTGTGCTGCCCTGTACTTGTTAAAGTGTAATGACAATACATTTTAAAAAAATGGAATTTCAATTTTATTTATTAAATCAACTCAGAAGAATGCTGACAGAGTTTGTGTCATTCTTAAGAGGCACATAAATTTGGCAGCTATTTTTACAAAAGGAAAGGAGAAACCAGGTTATTAACTATCCATAAAATGTCTTAGTGTAATAAAATAATTACTGTTTCCAAATAAAAAAAACAACAACAAACAAATAAAACAGAAGCTACATTTAAACTCCAAGAGGCACAAATCTGTAACTCAGACTCTATTACGTCAAACATTTTAAAATGACTAAACAACATCTTTTTGTAATTACTTTAGAATTTGAGTGCATATTATCGCAGTATATCTTATAACCAGAGGGTGGGACATTATTCCCCACATTTCTAATTTCCGATGTGACTTGAACGCAGCGCTACTCCAATACAGAGCGCGCCTCTCTCTCTCCGCCCATAAGCCGCGTGAACGCGCATAGAAGCGCGCTTTAGAGCGGCCGCACTGATTAGTAAAAACCAAAGAGGAGTTCTCACCGAGCGAGCCGCGGATAGAAGCCTTTTAAATTGCAACCAAACTGCAAACAGCTGGGATTTAAAAAAAACACAATCAATGAGAAAATCAGCTTAAATTTTGACCGCGGACTTGAATTCCCGAGGATCTTTGTCGACTTGCGTTGGTTGGAAAAGAAAGAAAAAAGACCTAAAACTCTTCCATTCAGTGGGAATGCAGAGAATTAAAACAGAGACTTAGTCCATCTGCAGGGATAGAAGCTACAGCGCAGGGCGACTGGAAAACAGGAGCTTTGAATTAACTTTAAAACTCGCCTGGAGGTAAGAGATGTTCAGTTGTTTGGGCTGGAAACAGCTTCTAGGATCTAACCAATCACTGCTGCTCTAACTTATTCCTCTGATCTGCAGTTTTTTGCAACAATGCATTCAGCTGTCATCCTTTAAGGTGTGTGTGTAACAGAAATCCCTTAATTAGATGATTAATCCCAATTAAAGGCGTGCATGTCTATGTTTGAGTAAGATTTGAGCAATGAAATAAGTTCTGTCTGTAGCTGCAGACTGCTTCCTGTGCAGATTACTCCTTAAAAGTGGGATTGATTGAAATGCATGCTTGTTTGCATCAACAACCTTTTCTAACTGTAATATAAAAAGCTTTAAGGGAAATAATTGCTGCATCATTCAGGGTCATTGGGACCTAGGAGGGAGGTGGATGGTGCTTTGAGTGTTTGGCTGCAGCCTGGTGGGATGGGTAAGGTTTACATGTATTATTTAGAGGTCAGACAGTGCAGTTTATGATGCAGTGAGGGCGATTCTTCCTGCAGAGCAGCTGGATGTGAAAGGTGAGGAAGATGCTGAATCATGCCCTGCAGCCTGTCAATGGATGGAGTCCGAAGAAACAGAAGCTCCTACATCCCACCCATCCTGATGGATCACATTTAATCTGCTGATGCACAGATCAAACCTTTTTCCAGCCTATCAGGTTTAGGTCTTCAGTGCCTTTTAGGTGCATCTGATTCCACTTTGGATCAATTCTGATTTTATCCTGAAGTAGAGCAGAGTTAAGAAGTAAAAAGAAAAAAAAAAGTTCTGCATCTTTCTTCATGGAATTAGTAGTTTTGAATCCAATCAAATTTACCTAACTGATAAAACAGAAAAAAGTGCATTTTATTGGAGGATCCCATAGATTGTGGGAGCACTTTGTTTTGATTTATATAACTGATAGAAAAAAAAGCTTATAAACAAAAAAATCAACCAGCCTAATAGATCAGATCTATGAAAAAATATCTTATTTTTCTTATAGATGAGACCCACTCTAGGCCATTTCTCTCATTTATTACCATAAAACATACAGTTAACCTCTCTGCTGCTACGTTTAACTGTAAGCTGTTTAGATGAGCGCAGGTGACGAGAGCCGAGTGGGTCTGTCCTGAAGGAATGTGAGCTCTGAGAAGACACAGCTGCTCTCAGTATGAGGGAAGCAGCCTGGACTCAGACTCCAGCAACTGGTCCCCGCTGACATCTGACACCCCACAGGCCCTGGGTCTGCTATTTCTAAAGGGACCACAGCTTTCTATCACGTCAGGACGCATTCAGCGATACGACAGACGCCAATAGGGAGAGTAGAGGTTATGGAGACTGGAAAAAAACTCTGGTTTGAGTCCCAGCAGGAGATAAATGCTGCTGTTGATGGAAACTCTTGGCTTTCCTTTAATCACAGTTCTGACTTTAAAGGAAGCTAAGAAATACTAAAAACTCATAAAAAACAAAAAGCACAGATTGAAAGGAAACTAAACATCTGCAACATCAGGATGCTAAAAAGAGGGATGAGTGTTTTACAATCTGACTTCCTGGCACAGTTTGAATGAATTTATCATGGACTCAGGGGAAAGTGTTAATCAGGGCAGTGTAGCTGATATCACTCTCATTCTCAGTGAGAAGAGCAGAGGGGTCGTATGTAGAAGGAGTAGTTGTTTCAAACCATCCTGCTTCTCCTTTCTGATAAGCACTTCAAGGTTAATTTATTTCTTCCTGTCAGGGAAACCGTGGATCACTAATGATATCTTTAATAACCCTGCATTGGTTTTTCCATAGGCGTCAGTAAAAGCTGTAAAATGTTTGTCATTTAACATTTGCAAACTATGAAAAGAAAACAAAGTTTCAAACAAAGAAAAACAAAGTTTCTGTTCTTAAACTTTATGCAATGGCTGTTTAATACCGATCAATGAATGTAGTGTTTCTGTTTGGCAGTGATTCTCCTTTATCAGACAGCAGGATTGGTGCAAAAAAGGGTTTTAGCTGGGAATATTTCATAGGGTGTACACCTTGGTGTGTAACGTCTTTAAGATTTGCGCGGCGTAGGGTGGTCCGAGGTTCTCCTCCCCCGAAAAAAGCAGAAATTTAGACTCTGAAACACTATTTCGTGCATTTTGAGGTGGAATGCAGCTATTTTTTTGTCTTTTACATCAATGCTTTTGTGCCGATTATGGGAAATATGTGTGCATGACTAAAGGTGGACATTTTTATAAGGAAGACATGAGATCATTTTCAGGTACAACATTGGGTTTCATTCAAACAATGAGAAAATATAATGCTACGTTCATACCTAACGCCATCAAAAAAACTTCTGCGGCTTCATTTTTGATGCTTGTCCACATTAAGGTCAGACGTCCAGTAAAGTGTGTCCAGATGCGTCTGATGCTTCTGCTGCTCCTGTGGCAGAGAGCGGCTTTGCTATATTTGCTGGTTAACCTGTTAAAAAGTATTTTAAATATATTTTTATCCGAGAAAGTCCAAGTAAAACATTGTCTGTGCATCGAGTTGATCAAGGTTACTACTCTTTGTTTAAAATATGATTTAGCTGTCATTTAGGATGCAGACCCCCACATGCTGGCGGGGCGCCTTCACTGGGAATCCCCAGCAGCTGGGAGGTTTCACTCTACTGTTCTTTGCAGGTGGAAGTAGATGTTAGCATTTTTCTGGTATGTGGCACAAACTGCAAGCATCAGGATAATAAAACCAATCATATTTTTCCTGGAGGTTTCAAGATTTAAAGTTAATTTAGGCGTTAATAAACAGTTTCAGTGAGTGATCATAGCGCTCTGCATCAGGAGCGCTCTCTTTTCTCCCCGCCAGCTCCCAAATCAGCTTCTCTGATTTGTTGATGTGGCACGTCGAGCAGCAAAAGTTCAATTTTTTTCAACTCCAGCATCTGCTACTTGTGAATTTTTGAAAATTTGGGTGACGTTTCCAGGGGAAAAACAGGATCTACAATACGTCATTTTTTAAAATAAAGGTCGTACAAGGTACACGTTGCAAAGATGAGCCTCTCAGGTGACCCTTAAGTCATTAAACAGTGCAACTAAACAGTTCAATTGGCCTAAATATGTGATAGATTAATATTATAATTCATTTTCAGGTCCACTGTTTTCTTTGCATCCTAATAAGAGTTGTTATAGATTATAAAATTGCTGTTACTATGACCCTTTGATAACTTCTATGGATTACAGACTTACCTAACTCACTGTTCTGTTTCCTTAATGATCTGTGCCGGCTGGGTTAAATACAAATACTGTTTGTGGAGCCAGTTTGATCTCTTTCTGTAACATATAAAGCACTGCATGCTGTCACTTGAGCAAATACATGAAGCTGTGAGGATGGTGTTAGTCATGCGTAAAAATGGCTTTAGTGAAACAATGAGTGACTTCAGGTTTTGTCATCCCCTTACATCACCGCCTGCCACCCTGTTAGACCTGATGTGTGGCCTCTCAATGAACGAACAAACCGGATGTCTTTGAAGCTGAAAGTGTCACTGAACTATTTTTCAACCGTACAAAAGAACTAATTAGTTCCTGCTGGGTAAAGATGGGGGGAAAAAACCCCCAAACAACCTCAAAGTAAATATATACGCATGTTCCATCTGCATCATTTTAGCATGGAAACTTTAGATATATATATATTTTTTTCAACTGGCTAAACTTTTTTGATACTCTAAACATTCGTACCTAAATTGAAAAATTTGAAATGTGTGTGTGTGTTTTTTTTTTTTAACTGCTCAATATGTAAAGGGACATTTTATTAGTAACGGCTTCCTGTTCCTCTGAGGTTTGAACATAAAAGGCGATCTCCATTTGTACCCTGAGGTTGGAATTTCTGACTTCAGAGTAAAAAAATTCAACTAGAATTCCAGAAAATTCTAATTTCCAAGTAAAAAAAAAGTTGAAACAAAACAACCGTATCCGACTTCCGCATTCAGGATGGATGTTTAAAGTTCCATCATTGTTTATACGTGCAGAATATCTCTTACAACAATAGTATTCAATGTCATGGTTGTAATAGTGGACACAGAGGTCGGATCAAATGATGGTGAATATAAGGAGGGTCCACAAATGTCACCCTGAAGATTATGCCACTCTGATTTCCCAGTTCAAGGGTTAAATTGAATGCACCATCTGGCCGACAGGCTGGAAAAGAAGCTGAAGTTATCATTGCAGGATGCGCAGAGAAGACTATAGATGAGTTAACTCCAAAGCTCGCTGCTTAAGGAACTCCATGCTGACCTGTTTGGTTGGTATATCAGGGGAAAATCAGCTTTATCCTTCTTTCCTAAACATAAATGTATGGATGCCCCTAAACGTTACTTAAATTGAAATGCTAAGCACTGTTCCCATGATATTAAACCTTTTGTTCTTTGACTCTCCACCTTCATATTTTGGAATGTTTCAGGAGGGTAAACAACACATCTGCTAGAATTTAAAACACTGAAAAAAGGTTGTATTTGCTGAGTGGAATCCATAAACGGATATACACACAGGACCATTGATCTCAGTGAACTAACTTGTAAGATATTAAAGGGGGAAGTCATCCATAATAGGGGGCTTTGTGAAGTGTTTTACCTGAAATAGACCTTACACTTAGCTTTTCGGCACCAAACATCTCATTGGTTTGGTTAAAGGGGTTAAAATAGGGATCTGGAAAAGCACCTCACACCTTACAGGTAGGTGTGCTGGATAGATGTGCTCTCTTCATCCTCTGACATGACAGCTGGTTTAGAGCTTGTCTGTCTGGCTGTGTGTTTCCTGGATAGAGCCGCCTGGGGAGCTGGTTGACAGTTTTCTTTTGTATCTCTGGTTCTTCTTGTATGTCAGCTTCTGTCTCCTTGAACCCCAGTCGGCCTCAGCAGATGGCCGCTCACACTGAGCCTGATTCTGCTGGAGGTTTCTTCCTGTTAAAAGGGAGTTTTTCCTCTCCACTGTCGCTACAAGCATGCTTAGTGTGAGGGATTGCCTTTGAGTCAAGGAGTCGATGCGATCAACTGGTTTTCC